TTATTTTCGCTAAGCCAGCATTTTGTAGCATATTATTTAAATGAAAAGGTCGAGTGACTATGCACGTCAGCAAATAAAATTAGGAGGCTCTTTGTATTTACTGCTAATCTTTTGTAGGGCTCTTTCGTCCGCAGGCCATTATCATTAAACTAAAACGGAATTTTCCACAATAGATTATACTAATTGCCAAAATAGTGCGGTAACTTTTGCAAGGCCTTTTATGTATATTTTTTTATTCCTTGTGGACAAATATTACATTTTATTTGCATAATTATCAGGTAGTATGTCTTTATTTCCACTTTACTGGCTTTTCCTCAGAGTTTTGATCCTTTTCCTTGTTAATTACATTAGCACGGACTACTTACTCACCCCCAACTCGATATCACAAATAGAATTAAAAGTTAAAGCGAAGCTGAGTATCAAAATTGCGGCAAAACTAATTAATTTTGGCAAGTGAGTTGGTTTTAACAAAAGTTGCACGACAGCTATTGAACAGAAATTTCTCGCAGCGTGCATAAGCGAGCTAATAAAAATGGAAAATATGAAGCTGTAAAAAAGTGCAAAACGCTGAGCGTATGGACGTGTAAAATTACTTGAAACCCTATCTCTGATGCAAAGAACTGAATTTACAACGTAACTGAAACAACATAGTAATTAAAATGCATACACGTTGCATATTACTTACACGATATCCCTACTCACAGTATGATTAAATGGAAGTGATATTTGTGAAAATTTCAAAAGTGGTCATAATGGAATTGTTGAAATAGTTATGAGAAAAAAACACATCGATTAAAGTCTGGTGACGGATTGATAGACCAAATGCCCCCTTTGCTTTGAAAATCCATAACTTTCCAACTAGGGCAAGCAGCAACTTGAAACTTTCGGCATGATTAGCCAACAAGTCAGTGTATAACGTGGAACTTTACTTTGAAAATCCCACAAAACGTTGTTTGTTGAGTAAATGTTGGGATCGATAAAAGTATTTGAAGCCAACTGCGCCTTCTTATTTAAACATTCGTCAGTTTCCTACTAGGGCAACTAGCAACTTGATACTTTCAAGATCATTAGAACATACTTCACGCTAAAGATGCGGAAATTTGCGTGAAAATCCCACGCAATTCTAATTTTTACAGTCGTGTAAATGATGCTGGGCCCCATAAAAGTACATCTAGTCAACTGCGCCCTCTGATTAAAACCCTGCACTTTATTACTAGGCCAAGTAGCAACTTGAAATTTTCACAGTATTTAGCAGGTGGCCCATTCTGCAAAATCTGAAATTTATTTGACAATCCCATAGAGATCTGATTTTTGCCCACCTAGTAAACTTGGGCTCGTCATGAGCATTTCATGCCAACTACGCCGTCCGCTTTAAAAATCCTTAACTTCCTAACCAAGGCACGTGACCACTCGAAAATTTCCCAGTCCTTAGACAATACTTCCGACTACAGACGCTGAAGTTTGCGTGAAAATCCCACGGAATTCTAATTTTTTACAGTCGTGTAAATGATGCTGGGATCATCAAAATGATATCGAGCCAACTGCGCTCTCTGATTTAAAAATCCATCACTACCCTACTGGAGCAAGTAGCAACTTGAAACTGTCACAGACCTTAGAACGCTCCCTCTGCTACCAAATCTCAGATTGCCAGCTTGATCAGCCTTGTAAAACTTGGGCTCGAAATGGGTGTTTCCAGCGAACTGCGCCCTCTGTTTTATGACCATAACTGCTTAACTGGGGCTAATAGCAACTTGAAAGTATCGCAGTCCTTAGAAGACAGTTTATTTGACAACCGGTAGAAACTGCATAAAACTCCCATGGCAGCTTGGTTTTTAAAAGCCGAGTAAAGGTTGAGCTTGAAAGCCAGCTGAGTTTGTCGCTTTAAAAACCCATATCTCTCCTCCCAGCGCAAGGAGCAACTTGAAACTGTCACGTTGCGTGGGCAAACAACGGTTCTGTCCATAGACGCTAAAATTTAGATGAAAATTCCATGGAATTCCAATTTTTCCCAACCTAGTTAAGCTGGGGCTCAAAATGGGTGTTTCAGCCAACTGTGCCCTCTGATTGAAAAGCCTATAACTTTTGCTCTAGTGCAAGTAACAACTTGAAATTGACAGTTTTTATGAGACAGTTTACCCCACAAAGTCCGAAATTGGAACAAAAATGCCACGGACTTCTGATTTTTGCCAGCCGAGTAATTGTTGCACTCGAAATTTAACCCATAACTTTCGATTTCGGGCAGATTTCAACTCGAAACTTTCACAGTCTATAGAGTATCGTCCACATTATCAACTCTGAAATCTGTATAAAAAATCCACAGTACCCCGATTTTTTCAGCCGAGTAAATGTTGAGCTCAAAATGGGTGTTTGCAACCCAATGCGCTTTTAGCTTTTAAAATTCATAACTTTGCAACTCAGGCAAGTAGCAACTTGAAACTTCCCAACCACGGCAAGTAACCACTTGAAGCATTCACGGTCCTTAGAACAGTTCACTCTACATGCGCTGCAATTTCCATGAAAATCCCACGAAATTCTGATTTTTAGTTGATTTTGATTGAGTATAAGTTGAGCTGGAAAAGGATATTTCGAACCAACTGTTCCCTCTTAATTAAAAGTCCATGACTCCTACTAGGCAGTAGCAAACTTGAGCTTTCACAGTCTTTTAGAAGACAGTTCACTCCACTGACGCTGTAGTCTGCATGAAAATTCCACAAAATCTGGATTTTTGCCAGCCGAGTAAGAATGGGATTCATTTCAAAATATGTGCTTCCAGCCAATGCTGCTTTAAAAATCCATAACTTTCCTACTAGGCCGAGTAGCAGCTTGAAACTTTTACAGTCCATAGATGATTGAAATTTACCCTACAAACGCGTAAATCTCACAAAAGCGTGGTTTAGTAGACCGAGCAAATGATGGGCTTAAAAAATGTGTTTTCCGCAAACTGCACCTCTGCCCTAAAAATCAATAACTGTCCTAGTAGCCCAAGTATCAATTTCAAATTTTTTCACTCCTTAGAAAGCAGTTCACTCTTGAATTACTCATAAAATTTTTAATTTAATTGAACAGGGAAAACACATGCTTTTGTCTCCTCGTGAGGGGTCCTGAGTACGTTTTTCCATTGAAATTGTGTCTACTTTCAGCTTCAATAAAAAGTCTCTTGCCCAATAGCAAATGAAAAAAGCGAAATTTTATCAATACGAAATCGGTTTGAACCTTGATTTATCGCAAATTTGGCTGATAAGTTGTGAAACATCCCGTAAGGATTTGCTTAATTAAATTGCGCAGTTTTGCAGGTGTATTAACCTCTACCTGCTCTGTTGTTTGTCATCATTTAATCATAAAATGATATGATGATATAAATAAACGTATTCCATGCTGAATAAATTAGCATAATGTTTACCTGAGTACAAACAACTGCTACCACCTCTCATCCACTCATCATGACCCCTTTGTGAGTAGTTTTGTTTGCTTTTGTGCAACCAAGACAAAACGCTAGTTTGATTCACACAAACAAGTTCATTGAGTTCGTTTACACAAATTCCCAGAAAATACGCGAAACCCCATATTTAGTCACTGAGAAACAAGACTAACAACTGGTGTAGACTAAATTGCACAGAACACATAAAATAAATCGAGTCTCGTACTTCGAGAGCAAGAATAATAGTCAAGTTTAAGAAAAAATCTACACAGATATTTGAAACTCTTTATGGAGAGGGTTTCACGAGTTTCGAAGGCTCGCGTGGAGAGTACAAGAAAAACCCTATCGGGCAATAATCGAAGAAAGGCTACACTTCCTCCTTTCTAAAACTTTGAACAAATTTTCCACCCAAAAATGTATTTACCTGAACATTTATCCATCACATTCGGGAACTATTCTAAAAAATTTAAACTGATGTTGGGAAAAAAATTATAAAGTGAAGTTCAGTGGTTTCATGATCAAATCTCTTGCTGATAGACTTGAGTAAAACTGATGTGATTGCAAAGCAACTGGAATTTTAGCAGCAAGAAGAAGTGCTATTTTGTGGAAACAAATCGGGCCAAATATGCTCTTCAATTTCCGAATGATAAACTTAATCCGTCTGATATGTACAACTATGTAACATGCATCCTGATTCTGCAGCAGGATTTGTGTTATATTCCATCCAGGTTTGACGTCAGACCAGATGTGCAGAGTTACTCATTGCAGGAGTGCCATTTTGGCACAAACATTTCAATCATGTTAACGCGTCTTCTGAAATAGCAAGTAGGACAAAAAACGTTGAATGAATACATCGGGCATACAGATAACTACCAGATGCACACGATGCATAATTCAAATGATGCCATCGTATATTTCTTGTTCAGATCATTGAATCACCACGCTGACACTGAGTATTCCGGGTTCATGTGTGTCGGGCTTGATGCCATTTTTAACATGTGCCACTTGTTTACAAGATTCCTGATTCGAAAATACGATACTCTGTTTGAAGCATATGTTTTTGTATAAATTATTAATTACGTGTTTTAAGTAATTCTCGGAAAAGTCGTGTTTCAAACCGCGATATAAATCACTGAACACCATTAATATTCTCGCTTGGTATCAAGCATCTTCACGGAATACCTGGAAAAATTTACTATGAAATCCATTTACCTGAGGACGATTCTGTTGCTTATTTCAGCTAAGCGAACCTTATTATGATGGTCGTACTTTCCGGTCAACTAGCTAGACCATGCAGCTTAAGCAAAATGCCCATTTTTTTTGTTTTTCTCGTTTAGTGTTTCTATTTTTACTTTTTTAAATTTTTTATTCCTGCTTCCTTTTGAATAAGTTTGCTCAGTTGCAAATCAATAATATACAGTAGAATATTGAAATAAAAATTGTCTCTTCGGAACTTAACTAATGAGCATCATTAAAAAGCGATCAAAATGATAGCAAGTTTTTTTCACACAATTTTTAACTCGCCTGAACAATTTCATATTTATATGAAATTATATATCTGATTATTGGAAATTTTTTTCAGGTATGTAGCTGCTCAAGTTCAACCGTTACGCTGATTTAGGCCGGACTGATGCAAAAAAATTCACGTAAGTGATTAGAATTGTATAAATAATTCACACAGTTCTTAGTCAAGAGTAATCGATTGTCCACTTTTAAGCCTCACTCTCCTGTAAATTACTGAGCTCTGGTGCCCCTAGACAAATACGTTTCTTGTCTGTTAAAAATTGAGTTTTTGGCAAGTTTTTATTACAAAGACTACGATTAACTACAAGTCTTATTACAGTTTTAATTGACAATAATATAATTTTGCTATTTATCCAGACTATTAAGTAACATTTTACTTTTTGCTCAATAAAATCGAAAAGCTTCTTAATTAAAAAATTGCCGATTACAATATTTCTAAGGTTTTGCAACGGATGGGTCATAAACCTCGCAGCCTAAAAGCCCGTTAATATTTCAGATAAGGTAGGATTCTCGGTTCGTTAAGTTTTTCATCAAATTATCGTATTTCCCAGGAGGGCCTGTACATTTTTTCGGCCATATTTTGCAGGAGCAAAAACGAAAAGAAAATGTTATATGGCACCTTTAACTAAAAGGGAAAGCGCTCCCTGGGTAGCATTCTGCCAGGGAAACGGTTTGCAAGATAACAAACTGTTGTCTATAAACTGATCATCGATAATGTAAAAAAGAACGCTCCCAAATGTATATTTTAATAAAGCATTTCGATAGGAAACGGGCCTGTTTGAATAAAGTTTCAAAGCAAATTCGGAGTAGCGGTAATCGATTGTTATGGACAGTAGGTTAGAGTTTTCGAATTTAAATATCGAAATGAATAGCGTACATTTCAGCTGGCGTTTTCCAATTTATTTAATCAGGATCGTGCAAAAATATGTTACTGTTTGCAAAAGAAAGCACCTGCTAAGGAATAGACACCTAAACTCAACTAGCCTTTGGACCGGGAGGAATTCGAGAATTTCCGTTCAGAAAACTTTGAACTAAAATTTATGGAGCATTAAGCGAGATCTAAACAAATACATTTCTATCTGATAAGCAAGTAAAGGTAATGAATATTTTCATCAATTCGAAAAAAAACGACTTCGAAATGATAAACGACTTTGGAGGCCACTGTTTACAGAATCCAGCCTTCAAAGTTACAAAGCGGTAACTTGTAATGACGAATCGATCTGAAACAAATGGTAAACACATTTTGCAAATTGGCACGCTTTGACTGTGCGATATTTCAGATTGGATAAAAAAAACGACGGGAAAAATGGAGCAAGATAGGTAAAATATGCCAAACCATTGTGTGCACCCAAAATACATGCCAGCGGCTTTAACGATTGAGAAATTTGAGACGATTTTTCAGTATTGTTGGTACTACTTGTTTTACGTGTTTGTATGAAGCATCAGAGTATTCGAAAATTTATTGAAGCGCTTGAGAAAATGTCCGTTGAGAACTGTGTTCTTGTGGGTGGAGGTATTTTTCTTTAGAATCACCCATAGGAAACCAAAAATTTTTTGTTGATGGGATGCCAAAATTGCATTTCTAATATCAGTTCATTAAATAAGATCGTTCAAAATGTTGATAATCTGGACCAGACGGGTTTATTGAAAAAAATACAATTAGACATAAACTATTGCCCGAACGGCTGTAGTTCGACTCTAATTCGAGCTTCCAAAATTTCAATAATTGCCTGCTTATTTGCTCCTCAGTTTTGCAATTTTGATTAAGGAACCCAGTTCAATGAATTCTATCAAACTCTTTGGTCTGCCAATTGTTACGTAAAAAGTCTAGACGATTATTCTTAAAATGAGTAAACAAACAGCGCCACATCAGTTACCCGTTGTTCTCTAAGGGATTTATTAATTGTTATCAATTTCCTGTCTATATATTAATTTTTCAACTCACTCATAATCCTCCTCACACATAATCCTCTAAGCAATTCATTCTAAATGAATGTTCAGTTATCTGCTTACCTCAGCGACCGATGACTCCTCAGCTGTTGCTGAGTTCCTCAGTTGCTTTGTCTATTTTCATGCCGAAACGCATCTGGAATTGAAGTATTTATGGGAGCAAAACACGCAGAAAGTTCTATGAAATATTACCTCGTGCAATTTTTATGCAGAAAAAGTCGCATAGCGGCGCTGGAAGTTACAACGAATCTCCGGTGCAATATTTTTCCCACCTGCAACATAGTTGATGCCCCTTGAAATTACTCTCATGTATTTGATGGTTGCGACAAAGGTACGAACTGGAATTTTGAGAGCTTCCTCGTAAAAACCGAATTAATAGGGGACAAATTGCGAGTGAAAACGGTTTATGGTTTTTGGACGTTTTATCCAGCTTGTCCAGCTTTTTCGTCCAGAGAAACTTCGCTATGGGTACGCGATTCAATTACAAACCACTGATGATTTCGTTTTGCTGCCTATATTGACTGGATCATACTTAATCCACGTCAAACACTCCCATTTTCAGAGATTTCTTGATATACTTTCAGGCCAGTTCACGTCCTCGGCCATAAAGGTAAACGATAAAAGTCGATTGAAAAATAAGCTCGGTTGGCTCGATTTACTTCTGAATCGACTTTTATCGCTAAGAATAAATCTTTGAGGTCTAGTGCATCGATATTTCCCTCAAAAATAACAGCCAATTTCTCCTATGCAATGATTCGAAAGTTACATCCATTCGGGAATGAGCGTTTGCCACAGTAAATATCCAGTAACTGGACTCTTCAAGAACAAGTCGACTAATCAGTCTTGTTTCTGAATGAAGCAATATTTTGTAAATCCATTGGCATTAAGATATCAACAGCTTAGCAGCTCAAAACATGTAGCTGAAAAATCCTTCTTCGGGGAGCCACCGGATTCGTGGTTACCGTCTCTATACTACTTTGGAACTTTTAAGTTTGGTTCAGCCTTAGTCCTGATTCTTAAGCTCACTTCATTGCGATTAAGCTCATAAACATCATGAAAGTCATGGAAATAGTTTGAGTCTTGTGAGAATGAACTTCCGCAATTCCATTTGGAACGAAGATCAGAGGAGTGAAAAATTGGGGAATCTGGTTTTTAAGGAACTGATCTAACAGTAACCTCTGGTTTGTCCTGGTCCGAAAATGCGTTTAAGGAATTATCATACTTAGATTTAGTCAGCACTTAACTAACTAAATCTTCTACACAGCAGACGTACAAAACAGCAAAAAACTTGAAACATCCACAAGTACAGCCTTAAAAAATGCAAGCTTGTGGATTTTCTCGTTGCATTATCGAAACTCAAATTAAATTATTGCAAATTTTCCTATAATATTGAACATAAACAAGTCGAAAAGCCGATGTAAAAAAAAATGCCAGATAATATCATCAATCTAGATATTGAAACCAAATTGGAAAAATCGGCCGATGCCTATCACTTCATGCTGAAATTCCCCTAAAAGAAATACGATAATGGTGCAATGATTTTATCTTTTATCAGGGACTCATCCGGGCTCCACCAATACAGATATTTCTTCCTAAACTCCTTGAAATCCAGGTTTTGCGATGAAGGAATTTTATGGCGGTATTTGAATAAACGTCCACTAAATTATTTCATCTTATCGTTTATTTTACTAAACTACGGCCACATAAATGTTTATGGATAATTTGTGATCGCTTTTACACGTTTTAGTGAGAATTCACTCACGAGATTGCGGCCTCCCAAGCTTTTTCAGCATATGAAAAAAGTCATCACTTGATATAATGAAATTTATTACGCACGTTTCACCAGCAAGAGTGGCTTACATCCTCAGCCTTGATTACACGAAACTGGGACGAATGGTTGTGCAAAACTCAGTGTGGTGCAACGAAGAACTCAGATAAGGGGAGAAGTATCTTAAGGTGAAAAACTGAGCTGGAAATTAGCTACCTACAAATGGTACAACAGCTGTGAATTGCCCTGATGGTGCAGAAGTATTTATTCGAAACGCTGCCAGTTTAAGAACCCAACTTTATTTCTAGATTGAAGTTTCAGCAAATGGCCACTTTAACATCAAGTCACTTTAACATCCTAAAAAAAGTTTCAATGTTTTGTTGTAAAAACCATAATTTATTGTGATCTTTAACAGTGTTTAGAACAAATTGTAAAATTCTTTTAAATTATGAAAAATTAAAAATTTTTGATGGTGGGATTGATGGAGGATTAGAGGTTCGCAACCTTTAATTCCCCATCAGTAAATCACAGAATTGTCTCAAATGATATACTTATGCTACATTTGATTTTAACAAATTGTGGCACTTAATCATGCTTTTTATTAAAATTGTTTCAAATTTTGAAACGTGCTGAAGCGAGCTGTTTAGTGTTTTAGAAACGAGTAATTAGTGTAATATATTAAATAAAAGAAAAAGATTGTAGTTGGAAACAAAAGAAATCTAAAAAAAAGTAAAATTCATGCAGAGATCGTGGAAACGCTTTATGGCCTGTTATTGATAAAACAGAGCCCCTAAATGTTAAAAGGGTACCATTAATATCAGAGAAGAGGCCGTTTGAATAGGACGTTCCTCGAATGAAGGTCTTAGTTACAACGTGCCCTGGCCGCAAGTGATTTTAAGTGGCTTATTCTTAAAAATGGGTCAGGCCATTATCGACAGTAATGTTTTCCTTTATGTCTTTCTGCAGAATGATGGAACAATCTATCCAGAGGGAAGGCTGATAAAGTGATTAAATTTGCCATCATTCTCCATAGAAATGGAGTCCCGAAGTATTAAAAACACCTTGTGTGCGTACTGATGCTTTGAAGAAGTTAATAACTTTTTTGTTTACAAGATGCAAATCTTTTACTGCAAATGCCACCTTATTATCTCAAAATGTTTTCAGATTTTGCATTTTTTCTTAATAACGCGTTCAGGTGCGCCTAATGGAGCTTTTTATCCGACTTTCCAGACACACTTTATAACTTCAAATACGCATTGGAAACAAAATTGCAAAAGTACGGATCACAACAACAACAAAGCAAAAATGTTCAACTCAAATCTATCCGAAAAACTCCGTGAAAGTTTCGATCTCTGACACATTTATAAATAAAAACAGCACAACAAGGAATTTTCAGCATTAAAA